ATCATATGCAGCATTGACAAATCTGAAAGCTTGGGGATGGATCCTTTCCAGGTGAAGTGATTTCCTTGTATTAAATTTGATAAGACATGACATGAGTTTTTAATTTGCCAATTTCTGTGAATCTGCAGTCTTTCTTCATTGGTGGCGGCTCATCTATCCTTGTGGGATTTCCTTCTGGAACCCTTTCTACAGCCTTTAATGTAAGCATCTTCTCCATTGAATTTGGATCGTTAATTCCATTTGTTAGCCTAAACTGACTCGAAAAATGTACAGGCGTCCAAGAGGGTTCTGGGGGATGTCCTGCGCAGGCATCTAGAGGGTCCAATTGTGTACATGAACAGGTCTCATGCACCTAGCTTTTGGACAAAATTCATACAACTCAGAGAGACAGACAGACTGCAACACCTGAAGAAGATGGTGGAATTCCGGCCAGAATCCGGCCAAGGAGACGAAGGACAGATGGGATGGTCGTGGAGGAAACTCTTGAATTCCTTCTTTGGAATCAAAGACGGATTGGACTGTAAAAATGGTGCCAGCAAATCCCCTGACTCGTACAACCTCTATCATAGAAAACCTGATTTCAGAAACAACTATGGATGGAGCATTGCTCTTGATGGGTCGGATTACAGTGCTCTGAAGTACGCTGGCATCGGCGTTTATCTCGTCTATCTCACGGCGGTAATCAACAAGTTCTCTTCAAATTAGTTGCATTTCAGTTGGTACTGAAAGCTGTTTTTTTGCAGGGATCGATGATGGCACCACATGTGAATCCCACCGCAACAGAGTATGGCTTTGTACTGCGAGGAACTGGCAGAATACAGATTGTTTTCCCGAACGGAACCTCAGCACTGGATGCAAAAGTAAGAGAAGGTGACGTGTTTTGGGTGCCGAGATACTTCGCCTTCTGTCAAATTGCATCCAGGGCAGGCCCTTTTGTGTTCTTTGGATTCACAACCTCCGCAGAAAAGAACCGGCCTCAGTTCCTCGTTGGAGAAAACTCACTGCTTCACAAGTTGTGGGGACCCGAGCTGGCTGCTGCCCTTGGCACGACCGAGGAAAGACTCGAACCAGTTCTACGTCGCCAACGTGAAGCCGTGATCCTGCCCTCTTCAGAAGCAACACAGCCCCGTGAGGAGGAGAAGGCGGTTTTGGGGACAATAGAAGAGGAGATGATTATGGGGTTCTAATGAGAAAGTTTCGTTATTTAGTTTAGGTTTTGCTTTTAGTTCCTAGTTTTTAACTTCGCCTTTTTCGTTAGGCTTCGTTTATAATCTTCTAAAATAAAGGCCAAACCACTTGATTTGCAACTTATATCTTTTTGCAGTTAACACCTCAAATTAAATTTTCTTCCATCAACACCCTCCATACCCTCCATATGACGACGACCAATCTGATCGAGACTCCATTTTTTTCTCTGGGTTTGCTACTCACAAGCTTGTGAACATGAATCCAAAAATAGAAGACTCCATTGTCTCCGTTTTCTCTTTCTAAGAACTCTATATATCCGTTTGATATTGGATTGGACAGCAACAAATTAGCAATTAATTTTGAGAAGGTCCCACATTTAGATGGGCCTCCCCTGTAAATGGTTATAGTTTCCCTAAAGAAAAAAAAAAAAATTCAAATAATCTATGAAAACATTTTCAAATCATCTAATGACAAGTCTTAAGTTTATGCTAAATCAACAGTCATCTGTAATGACTCAAAAATGTTAAACACTGTTAAATTCAACAAGAAATATGTTAATAAATAAGTCATTTGGCCAAAACTAGCTCTCTGTTAAGACTGTAAGCTGACATCTGTAGGGATAACAGGCAAAACCGCAGATTTATGATATAATCGGGTATGAAATCAGAAGACCATGAGCAAGTTGTCAGTGTTTGCAAGAACATAGACCTTCTAGGATGAAACCCGGATAGGTAACCTGCTTCCATATCTGCATTGCATTAGAATGTATGCTTTCAGTTTCAATGAACATACATATTGAAGTTGGGAAATAACAACAATTCCTATCACAATTATCGATACAATAAGTTTCCATGGTTTTCTCCCTCCTACTAATTTATCTCACAGGAGACTTCAAGCCTTAATTTCTTTCACACCTACAATTAGGAATCACAAACTGAGAAGCTGTTTTCCTTTTACAATGAAATGGGGTTTCTTAAAGGCAGCTCTCTTGCTTAACATAATTCTTCTTTCCATCATTAGTCACTGTTACATGAGATTCCATGTCTCTCATTCATGATACAATTAGATGGCACTGAGAGATAAAGCCGCCTACCTTATATTTTGATCACAAATCTTTGTCACCGTCAAGCTCGGCTTTAGCTGCAGCCTTCTCCGCCTCTTCCAAAACAAAAGTTCTAAGTGATTCAACATCTCTTGGCCCTGGTCATTGGCATCATAAAAAAACAATTCAATCCGAAGAACTCCAATTATTATTATTATTTTTATGGAAAAAGAACTCCAACTATTTGAAAAACAGGATTTCAAGTTTCCACAGCATTAGATAAACATATTATGCAAAATGAACACAAATAAATGCAAAAGAGCCCAAGTTCTCTTTAGATACATGAAAATAAGTGATTGATGAAGATTTTTGCAACTCTCATCTGCAAGAGGCATGAAAGCCATTCAAAAAGGAAAAAAAACTTGAAATCAACATTAAACATTGATCACAATATAAGCTCCCTAGAAATCAATTATAGACAAGAGTCTATGATATATCATTTTCATTTCAGATGGTACATATCAGTCAGCCAATTAACCCAGTATCCAAGTTATGCACAACAAAACAGTCATCTTCTATGACCCTACAAAGCTTGATTTAAAGTTCAGAATTAGCATCAGAGGGTATTTTCAATCACATAAAAGAACAAACTAACCAAAATAACCAGCAAATGAAATATGAATCTTACCTTGATATTTAGCAACTTCTTCTCCATCGTAAAAGATCTTAAATGTAGGATATGAATGAATGTCAACTTTGTTGCATACAGGTTTGCTTAAACCACAATCAACTTCACCTATCTCTATTTCATCTTCTCCTTCCATTACCTTTCCCAGGTCCTCCCACAGTGTTCCCAAGTTCTTACTGAAATCCATTATTATGGCTATTAGTGAGCAGGCATCAAGAACACAAAGCTCCACAATCAGCTCTAGTTTACTCATTAGACACAGTGAAGCAGAAATAATTACCAATGCTTGCACCAGGGAACACAAAATTTCACAAACCACGCAGTGTCTTTCTCCTTTATCTGTAGACAAGAACAAAAACATAAACACATATAGCATATAACTCTCATTATACAATGGGAACAAAAAAGAAACGATTTTGTTTAGAACAAAAACCAGAGAATCTAGTAATCAAATTAGGACCAAACAATTCACTTTACCAAATTTTGATTCAGACCAGAAGCAAACTTGAATTTTACAAAATTGGGACAAAATAAAAACAGAACGAGAATCGAGAAAAACTCCTAATTTCAGGTTATGACATAAATAGATCTGACATATCGAATGTAAAAAGAAACAATAAACGGAGGAAGATTGAAAGTAAATTAGGGGTCGTGTTTCAGTTACCTTGTCGGAGAATGTTTCAGGGGTTAGGGTTAGTACTTCGGCTTCCGTTTGTACTGTTATTGAGCTCCAGATGAGGAGGAGAGAGATGAAAGCAACAAATCGACGGCCGATTTCCATTGTTGGTGGAGTATATTTCAGGCGTTAGGGTTCTCCTTTGTATGACCGTGAGGAGAGAAAACGGCCGGAGATCGGTGGGATTTAATCAACCGGCTGAGACAAAACAAAGGCCCAATCAACGGAACTAGCTGGCACG